GCTCAGGCATCCAAGACGATGTGATAATGGTTCACAACAGTCAAAAGGTGGAAACGATGTCCATCAGCAGATGAACAGAGAAACAAAATAGACTCCATTCACTGTCAGGTTACCCACTAAGCAAGGTCTTCCTTGGGCTTATTTGCTAATCTGTAGTGAACAGTTTTACATGTTTTTCTTGCAGCAAGAATGCGAAGTTGTTCAGTACAGATTAGTGAATAAGCACAAGTGAGCCCTTGCTGATTTTGTGTATTGGATAATCCGCCCAGGAGTCAGCCATACAATGGAGTGTCACACAGCCATCGAGGAAAATGAAGCCCTGGTACACATCACAATGTGGACGAAGTTAGCAAACACTGTGCTGAGTGAAATAAGTCAGTCACAAAAGGATGGCTACTGTCTGATCCCACTTACCTGAAATGTCCAAAACAGCCCAATACCTACAGCCCAAAGTTCATCGGAGGCTACCAGGGGCTGGTAGGAGGGGGAAACGGGAAGTCCTGCTTGAGGGGCACTGAGTTTCTCTTTATGGTGATAAACCACATTTGAAAATGGATTGTGGTCATGGTTGCAGGTATACTTGGCTATTAATAGTTTAATTTCATTAATTGAATAAAAATAGAATAGACAATATAGTTTATGGAAATCTGCTTGTGCAACAGTGAGGTGCATTAGTTTTTTCGTAATAAAACCAGGCTCTTCACAGTGTTCTGATTTTATTTGCCAGTTTCCTAAATAAATGGATAAAAGTTTAAAAGAACGATGGTTGAGGTCTTGTGTTCAGCCCTAAATGGAATGAATGCGTGACAAATGGATGCTAAGAGGCTGGTCCACAGTTGGGCTCCATTTCTGTGATGGGACTCAGGGCAGGCAGGATTACTGACACTGTAGTCCACTCATAGATCTAGGCCAGCTAGCTTTAAACCTGACATTTGAAGAACCAGCAGGGAGAAGGAAATGCCAACAGGGTTGAAGGCTTTGTTTTTATTTAGAATTCAAAGAAAAACGTTTTTAATAAACTCTTAAATTCTTCTCCGTTAATGTGATGAAATAATGAATCTATGAAGACTGATTTGTTTACACACTCTCAACTGCAGAAAAATTACACTTTTTTTGTTTACACCATCAGATCCAATCAAGCCAAACAAGATGGTTAACTGAAGTGACTAATGAAGGCTGCATTTGCTGATGGCTTTACATTTAGCATGTGTTACTGATGTCACAGTTGATTAGTTCTCAATCTAAAATGATACCATTAAAAGCTTCAGGCCCTTTAGATGTAGTTAGTCATTGGGTGAAATTCTGGCGGGCGAGCAGGATGCTCTCAGGGTGACTCTGCTGTGCTGTATTCCCAAGGACATAGATGGACTCCCACATGCCCATCTTTGCTGATGGGACAGGAAGGAAGCAGGATGCCAGGGGAGTGATTGGGTGGCATCAACTGCAGCAAAGCTAAGGGAGCTGGGAATGAAAAGCAATGGTCCTCTTTGCACAAGGATCCCAAATGGCATGAGTGTGCACATTGACCATTACAGCTTCAGAGCTTTTCAAAAAGCAGGAGAAATGAATGAATGGGAGGCAAGAGGTTAATACAGGAGCATCCTCTAGTAGCTGCCATGATCCCACAGGGGAAGCATTGTAGCCAGTGGTCGAGAGCAACCTTCTTATTGGAGCTCAATGGAAAGAAAGCATGGCAAAGGCCAGGGTTGTACAAGCCCTGAGAGTGGTTGCATGGGGTGACTATGAGTTGGCAGCACTTCAGGACTCAGTAAGCAAAGGGAAGTGATTATGCCAATCAAGCTGCAAAGTAAGAGTGTAACTGACAAAAGAATTGTCCTATTTGTGCTTCAAGGTCAGAATGCGTCCAGTCCTAGAGCTATTGCAGCAGGGCTTGGGGGAGTCAAGTTGTTGAAGGATCAGTTAGGAAGGTGTGTGATGGTTAGTTTTATGTGTCAACTTGGCTAGGCTATGGTGCCCAGTTGTTTGATCAAATACTAGTGTAGATGTCACAGTGCAGATATTTACATGTGATTAACATTTAAATCCAGACTCACTGCCATCAAGTCTTCTGACTCATAGAGACCCCCCTTGGGTTTCTGAGGTGGTATCTCTACAGAAGTAGATTGCCCAATCTTCCTTCCAAGGAGTGGCTAGTGGGTTTGAACCGCCAGCCTTCTGGTTACCAGTCAAGTGCCTTAGGTACTATGCCACCAGAGTTCCCAAAACATTTAAATCATTTGAGTCTAAATAAAGGTGATTACCCTGCATAATAGGAGCTCTGGTAGCATAGTGCCTAAGGCACTTGACTGCTAACCAGAAGGCTGGTGGTTCAAACTCACCAGCCACTCCTCGGAAGGAAGGTTGGGCATCTACTTCTGTAGTGATACTGCCTCAGAAACCCAAGGAGGGGTTGCTATGAGTGAAGTCCAACTCAAGGACCCTGCAAAACACCCTGCATGATAGGGGTGGGCCTCATCTAGGCAGTTGGAGGCCTTAAGAGCAAAACACTGAAGTTACCGTAGGGGAGGATTCCACTTCAAGACTGTAATGTAGACACCATAATGGAGTTAACAAGCTGCACCTCACGTATAGATTTTAAACTTCAGCCCACCCAATCATATAGCCAGTTCCTTAAAATCTATCTGCCTACCTGTCTATCTTTTATTGGTTCTGTTTCTCTGGAGAACCCTAAGACAGTGTACAAAAGACACATTAAAACGCAGCCACTGTCTGACTTTTCAAATATTTTATTATTGATCCAAGTGTCCCAGGACATTTTAAGTGTGTATGGTAAGAGTGGGGAGCTCTGGTAGCATAGTGCCTAAAGCACTGGACTGGTAACCAAAAGGCTGGTGGTTCAAACCCATCAGCCACTCATCAGAAGGAAGATTGGGCAATCTACTTCCATAGTGATACTGTCTCAGAAACCCAAGGAGGGGTCGCTATGAGTCAGGTCCGACTCAACAGCACATAACAACAACAACAACATGGGAAGAGGGGGTGGTCCCTAATTTACCAAGAGACAGTACTCTGGGTCTTCAGCTTCTATCCCTGTCCAGGGTATGGGAGGGGTCTGTCAGTGGGGCAGATCTGAGTTGGGGGTCCATCCTTACTAATGCAGTTTAGCCATCTCTATGAAAAAGGCAGCAAACAATTTGGATCCCTCTATGTAGTTCCACCTAGCACAAGAAAAAGAAAAGGGACATTTTGTTATTTCCATTCAAATGAAGGAGAAAACTTAGTCTATCACTGAAAGAGAAAGAGCTGGTGTTCCACATTCAACCTGAAGTGCTTAGCGTGCTATTCTGAGATCTAAGTCTGAGGCATGTGGTAAGTTGTGAAAATGGCATTATTAGTAAGAGAATGGTCTAGTCCTGGAGCATCTCATTTTTAAAAATCCATTGTTCTTGGTCTCTTGTCATTGGCACGACATGGATGTCAGAGTGTTTTCTTGCTTCTCACTAGTCTGGGAAATTGAGGAGACCTGATAATCTGCCAAGAGCGCACACATCAAACATTCCTAAATATCCACTAAGATAACACGCCCCAGTCCTCCATCAGCCGCATGGGGATCACCACTGCAGAGACCTGGGGTTTGCACAGTGAGGGGCCAGTCCCTAGGGTCTGCTAACCTGTTGATTTTCTCATTCTGTGAGTGTTCCCCGTCATCAACGGCTCCCAAGGGGAGCATCATCACACTCTTCTGAATGATATCCTGGAAGAGTCTGGCAACTGGAATGGTGGACCCATCACGGATCATATCTGGTTCTGTTCCAAACACTGAAACACAGGAGAGGAAGGCATCGGGAGACAGCAGTGACAACCTGTGACGTCCCCCAGTGCCACGTTTGCTCTGTCCTTCAAAGCCTTCCTTTTCTTCGCTATGGAACTATGAGGACGCTGTGCCTGAGGTGGGTAAGCTCCCTGACATCATGAAATTTATATCCTGAAAATGTCAACAGAGTCGGGGAAAAAACTCGTAGCTGACTTCTTTATATCACCTCCTTTAAAAACATCCTTTCAATAAAATGTTCATTGTGAACTCATTTTAGACATACAGAAAAGCTGCAAAAATAGCACCGAGCCAGTTCCCTTCCGGGCCTTTCTCTGCTGTCCCTCAGTTATCAGGAATAGGCAATTAACATTGTTACAATATTATTCATTCAACTCCAGACCTTCTTTCCATTTTTCTCCGAATGCCCTTATCCCACTCTGGGATCCATCCCAGAGTTCCGTCATTACTTTTCCTGAGTCCCTTCTAGTCTGTAGTATTTGTCAGTCTTTGCCTTCCATGACCTTGGCACTCTGAATGACCGCTGAGCGGAAACGAGGAAAGGCACGGAGCAGGCTCCCTCAGAGCTCTCAGAAGGATCGACATGGTCAGTGCCCTGATTTGTACTTCCAGTCACATAACACATTTCATTTCTTTCAAGCTACCCACACCGTGAGGTTTTGTCATGGCTGCCCTGTGGTAGGTAAGTTTGCGTGTCCACCTGGCTGGGCCTGGATGAGTGGCTGGGCAGCTGGACGTAGTATTCCCCATGCTGAGACTGGTAATGAACTCCATGGTGGGATCTACTGTGAGCAGCTGAGTAGCTGCCTTAGGGATGTGGTCTGCTTCCTGTGTGTAAGGAGAAGCCTTGGGGAACGGTCTCCAGCTTGACACGCTTGAACCCTGCATGTAGTTCTGTCAGTGTCCAGCAGCCTGCCATGCTCTGCCAATCCTGGGACTTTCAATGCACTTGAATTAGTGGCTTCCCGTGTTGTTTGGTAACACGGGACTGTGCCATTTTACTTGTCGACCTTGGGCTTGTTAGCCTCAGCAGCCAGTAGCTGCCTGAGTGAAGAGATGCCTCTAGCTTCAGTGGGCCGGGAGCAAGAGGCAGAGCTGAAGCCCAAGGTCAAGGGGCTTCCACATAGCCCCTAGAGCCTGGCACTTTGAACTCAGACTTAAAGCCTCCAAAGCTGTAAGAGAATAAACTCCTATTTGTTCAAGCCATCCCATTTGTGGCCTATTCCTGCCAGAGCGGCACTAGGTAACTAAAGCAACACCTATTTGCCTCAGTAGTTGCCATCCATAAGCAGGAGCTGCGTACACATTGCATAGCAACCAACTCTGTTGCCCATGCTATATTGATCCCAATAGAAAACAAATAGCTGTGCCCTGTTGCTCTCCAGAATCCTGCCAGTGATGTTGCTCTTCAAAACTGCGGCCACAGTCCTTCCTCCTGGAAGTGTCAGAAGGCTGATGCAGGAAATGGATTACTACCAGGACTCTGGAGCGAGCACAACTCAAAGTAGCATGGTGGCTGCCATCTTCAAGTAGCGCACAGCTGTTTGTTTCCTACTTGGGTCAAGATACCACGGGCAACAGATGTGGTTACTATGCAATGGATATGCAGCCCCTTTTCACAACGACAATTACTGAACTATTTTAAACTGGTTCAAAGCCCTGATGTAGGGGGAGACCCCATGTTGCAATTCTGGGCAGGGCCTCCTGCTGCAGAAGCCAAGGAAGTGGATATTCCTTCTCTCCACACCTGGCAGCCAGGACCCAGGAACAAGTCAGCTCAGCCAACAATGTGGTCCTGCCCGGGTGGTGACACAAGGCCACAGGGACAGGAAGAAACTTCATGATGAGCAAGCACAGCCCTGTGACTTATGGTCTTGATTTTATCCTGTTTAAAAGGAAGACATCTCTGAGGAGGACCACACAAGACTGCATCAGGGGGCGCTGCGCATGGCTTGCACTTAGGAATAGAAACCGTTGAAAAGGAGAGTCACTGTTGAAGCTTCAAGCTGTCTGCTCTGTCACTGTCCACTAGACACCAGCCACTGGTTCCACTATAAACTGGTCCATCCAACTGCATTAAGATCTGCAGCAGCTTCCTGTTTAGGGTGATGGAAATTTTGCCAACGGATATTGGTGATGACTGTGCAGCATGACTGGCGGACGACACTGAGTCGGACCCACGAGAAACGGTGGATGGCAGATGTTGCACTGTACATCTTTTTACATTGCTAAGAAACGTCTTAAGATCCCACCTGTCTGCATTGCTCTCTTTGCCGCCACATACTGCTTATCATTGATGTCCGCGACCCACGGGTGCATCCCCAGCACCATGGAAACAGCCATGTGATTGGAGCTGTTTCGTCTGGAGAAGGTCTCTTCAAGGTGCTGCTTCACCTACAAGGTAACATTTTCAAAATCAAAACCAACCCAACCCACTACCATCCAGTTGATTCTGACTCACAGCACCGCTAGAGGACAGAGCAGAACTGCCCCATAGGGTTTCCACGGCTGTCACCTTTATGGAAGCAGCCTGCCTCATCTTTCTCCCACAGGGCAGCAGGTTGGTTTGAACTGCCAATCTTTCAATCAGCAGCCCAGTGCTTACCAATATGCCATCGGGGCTCCTAAATGAATGATAACAACCCTAACCAAACCCACTGCCATTGAGTCAGCTCTGACTCATCGTGCCTGACACTATACGGAAGAACTGTCCCGTAGGGTTTCCAAGACTAAATTTTTACGGAAGCAAACCACCACATCTTTCTCCTGTGGAGCAGTTGGTGGGTTCAAACCACTGATCTTTGGTTAGCAGCCCAATGCTTTAACCACTGCACCATGAGAGCTTCTTACATTTTCAAAAGGAAGAGGTATTTTCCAGTCACTTTCTTGTACAACAAACAAACAATAGTCTTCCATCATGAAACTGACTAAAATCCCAACCTGTCAAATTGGAATGCTGAGGACTGCGCCTTTGTTGTGTCAGAGAGCATTGCAGAATAGGGCAGAGAGAAGGCAGGGAGGGGAATGGGGGTTCTTTTAGCTGCTTACTCAGAGTGCACTTTCGGTAACACTCACGTGAGATAAACTGATGACAGGTTGGTCATTTAGATACATAGCTCCTTACAGATAACATTTCCACTACAATGGCTGGGTGCAAAGTGGTGATAGCAAACGAACGTTCTGGTAAACCGAACGGCTGTGGCTAAGATTGCCTGGTTCCATCCAACCTTGGGTAGGCCTTCCTCTCCCCCCATTCCACCTATGTGTCACCAGTCTCACCTTTACATCTACTGTTTAATTCAAAGCAACCTCTCCTCACCTCGACTCCCCACAGCTACTGATCTCACTACTGCAATTTACACGATTGATATTTTACTGAACAGAAATGCTGGCGGGCTGACCTTTGTCCTAGTCCTCATGTACTGAAAATACAATGCATCGATGCCAACAAACAAAGCACTCCCTAAACTGTGGTGTGCGGTACTCAGAAGCACCTGCCAGAGTCACAGCACACACTTGTTACCTGTCTCTCCACTACGGACACATTCATGTGAGGGACCAGACGGATGGAGAACTTGCCGATGACGCGGCCAGGTATGACCGTTTTGGTTCCAGGCTCATCGAATGCACCTTCAATCCCATGAATGGAAAGCGATGGGTACCTCCACAGGTGCAGCAGAATCCCCTCCTAAGTGAAGATGGAAACGTCCAAGGGATACACCATAAACCCAGCTGGGGGGGTGCCTCACACGCACCGCCAATTTCTAGACACCTGAGACACCTGCTGTGACATGTTGATCGTCACTTGACTCTGGCGTGCTGGACGAGTGACACCGGTGTGGACCGCTCCCCCAGGACATGAGCAAACCCAAGCCCCTCATCCTCACCATCGACGACACTCCTCCCTGTCCTGGCCCTGTCATTTGCAAGCAGGCTAAGAGCGCCATTCAGAAATGGGTCTGATGACAAACTTCTATCCCTGATCATCGCAGTGGCCACTGGTGTATCAGATGCGTTTTAGTACTCAGTGACCTTCAGAGGACTCTTAGGACATTTGAACCTGCTTGCTTTCCTGCGATGGGCATCACAGAGCACGTCAGGGGGAAGAGAGGCTCCGTCATCCTCACCTTCACCCCTTCTTGTCAGTATGACTCCTCCCTCTCTTAGCATCTCCCCTGGGGACCAGTGTGGCAACAAAGTGCCACAGCAGGCGAGCTAGGGAGGAGCCGAGAGAAGGGGCAGAGAATCTAAACATGCCCAGTGATGAAACTGCTAAACCAAGAGCCAGTTGGCATGGAGTGAGTTCTTACTGTCTCCTGGCAACTCCGTGTAGGGTGAAGTAGAATTGTGCTCCACGGGGTCTTCAGAGCTGGGACCTTTGGGAAGGAGATGGCCAGGCCTTTCTCCTGGGGCACCTCTAAGCAGGTTAGGTGCTGAACTCTTAACCATATGCACCGCCAAGGACTCCAGGAAGCTGCTACCTGGCTGTGAACTAAACACCTGATAACGAGCTCGGACTGTGGGTTCTATAGAGGGGTGACGCGGTAAGGCACTCACTTATAGACCTGAATGCTCTGGTTTTACCTGGAAAATTAATGCGTAAAGGTCTTGAGCTGGACTCATCTCAGCTACTGAACAGGCCAGAGGCCCAGCACACTGGCTGAGGGTGGAAGTCATATCTGGACTTCACACAGCTCTGAAGGAAAAGCATGAATGACTGCCCAGTGGTCAGGCCTGATGCCGGTGCTGTAGGCCCTTGGAAAGGTCAGTTGAGGGAGGCCACAGGAAGTGGCTTTGATAGCCAACATCTGCCTGGCACGTGACATCTCTTCTAAGATGCTCAGATGAGCACTGACGGCAAAGCGGGCACTAGATAAGTGGTTTATTATTGCCACACCTCTTTGGAATTCTCCATCCCCTGGTGACCATACCTTGGTGTCAAACAGAAACTTCTCAACCTGAGTGCTGTTCCGGTACTCACTGAGGTCCAGGTCAATGACCTCATACATTCTCTTCTCCTCTTCTGTGAGTGGAGCCACGTTGTCATAGATTCCTGGAATCAGAATGTGGCCAGAGGAATCGACAAGACTACCTGCAAGGCACCGAGAGAAGAGAGTGAGGTAGGGTGTCAGGACACAGTGGGGGTTCTCCACTACCGTGCAGCGTGACAGCAAGTCCCACCCGAGCTCAGCGGGGTGCTTAGAAATGTGCGTGTGAAATGACACAGCAGGAGCAGTCCGGAAATCTCTCTGTGATGAGTCTATTTGATTCAAAACCTAAACCCTGTAAAGCAGTGCTCTTCCCTTTCCGGATCCGGATCTGCTCTCTGAGCAGGGCAGCCTGCAGGTGGGGGCCAAACGGAAGTGAGTCCATGCTTGGTCACAGCCACACGTTCTGAAAAGACAGCACGTGGTAACCTTGTCTGGGGCAAATTGACACGAACCACGAAAGGTTCCAGGATGCAATTCCAGGGACGAGAAAAGCGGTTCAGGGAAAAATGGAAAATGAACCATTTTCCCTAACACATGAAGTTACATTCTGTCTTTTGGAAACCAATGAAAGTCTTTAAAGGAAAATGGCTTGTTGTACTGTCTGAAATTGTCAAGCTCGAGAGGTATGTTTTAGGGAAAGTAGAAGGCCATAGACTGAATATATACATTCGTGGTATGGAGTTCATATAGAATGAATTACTCTGTATAATATGTTTGTCTAATTAAAATGTTATTTTAATATTTTAAATTATGAAAAGATAATTAATTACATGCATTTGGTTATATTTAATTGAGGCAATGGTGGGGCAGAAAGCTCTGTCCCTGGAGGTGGGGCTGAGGCCTGGGAGGTGGCTCCCAGCAGCAGGGCCCCAGGGACCGGTGGTACCTGAGCCCAAGGCCAGGGTGCCAGTGGGGCTCCGGCAGAGCTGTGTTGAGGTGGAAACAGGGGGACTTTCCCAGATGGACCCCCATGGAGTAACTGCTTTTTGGCAAGGTGCCCAGAAGGGGCACACATTAGGTGTCAGGTGGGGCAGATCTAGGTAGGTGGGGTCCAACCTTACGTCACTTGAGAGCCTCTGTTTAGAAAAATCACCAACTCTGTGCATCAGATGTTACCGTTGCAGAGCAAAGCTTCAGGGTCTGTGGTGAGAGAGGCAGGAGCATGGTTTCTCTTCTACTCGACTCCTCCACATGAATGGTGTGGAGACCAAGGGAAGAAGTACTCCTGGGACCGAATCAAGCTGTATTTCAGTCAAACATTCATGCGGAAAACGTGAGGTGAAGAAAGACATTACCTAGAAGAGCCACCAAATCCGCCATCGGCTCGTGGAGAATCCCCCCGAAGGTCCCCGAGTGGAAATCCTGGTCCCTGCACTTCACCTGCAGAGGGGAGAACAGCCATGCCACCTCGGCACACGTGGCCTCCACAACAGCTTTCCACGTGCAGGCCGGCCAGGCCGGGCGGTGTGGTGATGACCCAGACCAGGGCCCTTCTCCCCGCCTCTCAGCCAGACCTGGGCCATTTTGTCACTGTCCACTCTCTCCTGAACCTCCTGAAAGTGGCTTCATTCTTCAACACCGTCCTAGCGAGGCCAGCAGGACCTCCCGGCCGATGACTGATGCCCACACTGTTGTCCTCCTCTTGGTTTCACCCCATGCTGTTGACCACCTTCCTCAGGTGCTATCTCCTCCCTTGCCTCTCAGAACCCTGGTCTCTATTCTCTTCTTGTCTGTAGGACAGTTCAATTTATTTAGTCTGTTTTAATTTCTTTTTCTCCTCCCAGAACCCTGGTCTCTATTCTCTTCTTGTCTGTTGTTGTTGTTGTGATTTGCCATCGAGTCGGCCCCGACTCACAGCGACCCCTCCTTGAGTTTCCGAGGCAGTATCACTACGGGAGTAGGATTGCCCAACCTTCCTTCCGAGGAGTGGCTGGTGGGTT